AACCTCGACTTAATCCAACCTTACTTTTAGCCCATGTTGAGCCTAGATCAGTCAAGCAAGCACTCTCTTCTCCCCAGTGGTCAGCTGCAATGAAATCTGAATATGATGCATTGATTTCTAACAATACTGGGTCTTTAGTTCCTCTTCCTCCAGATAAACAGGCTATAGGTTGCAAATGGGTGTTCAGAGTGAAAGAAAATGCAGATGGCTCTTTGAACAAATTTAAAGCAAGATTAGTTGCTAAAGGTTTCCATCAGAGACATGGTTTTGATTTTGGAGAAACTTTTTCACCTGTTGTCAAGCCCATTACAATCAGAATACTCCTTACCCATGCTGTATCTCATCAGTGGACTATCCAACAATTGGATGTCAATAATGCTTTCCTTAATGGTGACCTAAGTGAAGAAGTGTATATGGTACAATCTCCAAGCTTTCAAGCAAAAGATACATCTTTAGTCTGCAGACTTCACAAATCCCCACATGGCCTGAAACAGGCACCTAGATCCTGGTTCCACAAACTGACTTCAACTCTTTACAATGCTGGGTTCAAGCAAAGCAAGTGTGATCCTTCCTTACTTCTGTTTACATCTTCTGGCATTCTGATATACATTCTTATCTATGTTGATGACATACTTGTCATCGGCAACAACTCTTCAGACATTCACACTCTCATCAGCAAATTAAACTCTTCCTTCTCTCTTAAAAACCTGGGAGACATTGATTTCTTTTTAGGAATCCAAGTCCAGAAGCTTCAAGATGGAAGCTTACATCTTTCTCAAGCTAAGTATGTCAGAGATTTACTGCATCAAGCTGGAATGACAGATTCTAAAGGAGTCATGACTCCTATGATTAGCACTTGCAAGCTTACCCGTGAAGGGAGTGAATCCTTACCTGATCCTTCTTTATACAGATCTGTAGTTGGTACTCTACAGTATGCTACCCTAACAAGACCTGAGATCAGCTGTGCAGTTAATAAGGTCTGTCAGTTCATGGCTACACCTCTGCAAGATCATTGGAAAGCAGTTAAGCACATACTACGCTATCTGTCTGGCACAATTACACATGGAATTCTCATCAAACCCATTCCTTTATCTACCATGTCTCTACCCATTTCAGCATTCTGTGATGCTGATTGGGCCTCTGATCCCAATGACAGAAAATCCACATCAGGATCTTGTACCTTCCTTGGTCCCAATATCATTTCCCGGTGGTCCAAGAAACAATTGCGTGTTGCCAGATCCTCAGCAGAAGCTGAGTACAGAAGCATGTCTGATACAACAGCTGAACTTCTATGGGTTCAATTTCTACTCCATGAACTGCAGGTTCCCTTTGCAGTTCCAAAGATGTATTGTGACAATCAAAGCACAGTTCAGCTTGCTCACAATCCTGTTTTACACTCTCGCATTAAGCATATGGAGATTGATCTATTTTTTGTCAGAGAGAAAGTTCAACTGAAGCAATTGCAAGTGTTTCACATTCCTGCTCAACATCAACTGGCTGATATTCTAACAAAACCTTTGTCTGCTTCATCCTTCATTGATTTAAGAACCAAACTTAGTGTGGTTGCATCTCCAGCAAAATCACCCTAAGTTTGAGGGGGGAATGTTAGATATACTATACGAATTGTATTAGTATAAGTCAGTTGCACTTCAGTTAGTTAGTTAGTCAGCAGAGCTGTAGCTTTCTATAAATACTCTCTGTACTCTTCATTACAGTTAATGAGAATAATCCTTCTTCCTCATTCTCTCTATCTCAAATTCTATTAAATCTCCTTTAATCCATTCATGAATTTGTCTTTAAGCATCTCAGACTCCTTGAATCTCATAGAAGCTATCACCAATTCATATATCTCGTCATCTGATGCCTTTCGGTTCAAGTATTTTTGAAAATTTGGGAATAGGAGAGACACATTTTCATTTCCATGCTTGTCAATAATAAATATACCAGTCTTAATAATGTTCTCAGGTACCAAGTGGTAAGCACAATTTGATATATTCAAATCAATCTCCCTTCTTGGGCTGATATGATTTTTGTTAATGGACACCTCCTCTTTATATGTAGGCTGTGAACTGATGATTTCTCCTCTGTCTAGCCTCGCACTAGGGCTCACATAGGGCGATCCCGTTGATTTCGAGTCTCCTCCTGATCGAGTCACACATGAGCTGTTAGTAGATGAAGAGACCTGCGAACAGGGGAGATCTGTTTGTGAAGAACCCTGAGGTGTGGGAAATACTGTTCGCAGCAAAGCTGGCGAACTGGAAGAAGCTGCTGACGATGAAGATCGAAGAGGAGAAACAGTTCACAACGAACTGGGAGATGATGCGGTTAGCGACTGCGAGCTGGATGAAGCTAGAGATGAAGTCAGCGAACGGGAAGATGAAGTTCGCGATTGCGAACTGAAATGATATGTGAGCGTCGAACTCTGCGACCTATGAGAAGCTGTACGCGATGGGGCCTGTGAACTGCGGACATCTGCTCGGGGCGAAGCTTGTGAACAGGGAAGAGTTATTGACGATCGCTGAGAACTGCGATAAATTGTAGGTGACGAAGAGGGCTGGTGAGTAGCGGCTAACGTCGAGCATTGCTTTTCAATTGGCCGACGATGTCTAGGAGGGCTCCTCGCTCGGCCTCTAGTTCTCCGGCGACCCTGTTTATGCAGATGATTTATCATCTCATCCAGCATCGTTTCCATCTTCGTAAAATTTCCTGTGCTATTCTCCATTTGCGATTGCTCTGTGATGATCGATTCTAACTCCAGGAGCGATTGCTTTGATACCAATGATAGGTACTCGAGAATTTGACGGTGAATTGAAGTAGATTAAAAGGATGAAAATTGATAAAACTGAAAAGAGAAGGTACAAGAGACACTTCGAGTAGTCTCAACACTCCCAAGTTCCAGTCCCAAATTCTCCTCCCCATCTCCTCACCACTCTCACTTATTTATTCTATTTCTAATGGGCCAGCCCACTATTACATTTGATTAAAATACTCAGTATTATTTTTATTATATCTCACTCTATAAGCCATTAAGTTCAGGTCTCTATCAGAGTATTGGTATAATACCAATTACCACATATCCTTAAAACAGACTCCCTATAAGACACTTTATGGACAAGATCCACCTGTGATCATCAAAGGAGATGTATCTATTACTGCTATTGATGAAGTGGCCAGGATGACTGCTGAAAGAAACGGAATGTTAAATGAAATCAAGGAAAACTTAGCTATTGCTCAAAATAAGATGAAGCAACAGGCTAATAAGCACAGGAGGGAACTGAAACTAGAAGTTGGGGAACAAGTTTTTCTGAAGATTCAACCATACAAGATGCAGAGCTTGTCCAAAAGATTGAACCAGAAATGAAGTCCCAGGTTCTATGGACCTTTTGAGGTTATTGAGAAGTTGAATGATGTTGCTTTCAAACTGAAGTTACCAGAACATTGTTTGATACACCCAGTGTTCCATATTTCTCTACTCAAGAAAGCCTTATCCCCAAACACTCCTTGTCAACCGTTGCCTAAATGCTTGAATGAGAATTGGGAATTGCAGGTTATACCAGAGAAGGTGGTGGATACCAGAAATGTGGATGGACTAACAGAGCTTCTCATACAGTGGAAGGATTTACCTGAGTTTGAGAGATCTTGGGAAGATTCACAAGTATTGAAGGAGCAATTTCCAGACTTCTATCTTGGGGACAAGATAGATGTTCAGCCGGGGAGTATTGATAGAAGCACAGCTAATTCGAACACTAGAGATAAATACTTTGGCAGGGTGTATTCTAGAAGGAAGACAATAAGCTGCTAGTTATTAGTTATAGTCTGTTATTAACTAAATAACTACTTCTGTTGTTCGAACTACTATAAATAGAAGGGAGGCTGGGGGAAATAGGTAGGCTGTTAGACTGTTGTAGTATGGACTGGGAAAGATTGAGATTCACTGTCTCTCTCTTTTGGGGCTTTGGCCATTGTTGTTGGTTTCATTCAATAAAGTTCTGGAGATTTCTTCTATATTTTGTTCTATATTTTTCTGTGAAATTGTTGTGATCTATCACACTACCGCCGCCAGTGTCAGTGACTTTAAGGTCTTAAATCAATTAGTGTCTCCGCCCAAGCCAACACTGCTGTCAGTGACTTTAATGTCGCAAATCCGTTAGTGAATCCGCTCAAGCTGGCGCCTCCACCTGTCCACCATTACCTCGCTGCCATCAATGACTTTGAGGACACAAATCCCAAACTTAACCAGATGGTAATGTTAGTGACCACATCATAAGTGAATGCCTTGTAGTCTCTAATAATTCCAAACTCACTTATTGTAGTCACTATTCGTTATTAGTAATTATCCATTGATTATTAGTAATTATCCATTCGTTATTAGTGATTATCTTGACTGCACATATACATACTACATACTTTTAGTGACTATTAATATGGCTACCAATCAATATGTTTTATAAAAACAGATTTTACGATTGATGCTTCTGAATCAGTTACCACAATTATCGGAATTTAACATTTCCTATTTTTTTTTTTTGCTATGTCGAGTTATGAATACTTATCACTACAAAGATAAGGCTATCAAAACCCCCCTTTTTCCCGTCTCCTACATAACTGCCAGCTAGTCAAATTTGTGAATTTTTTTAATACTCATTTTTTTTGTCTTTTAATGTATTAATAGCAATATTTATGTAAAAACACTAATATTTTATAGTTAATTTCATTTGCCAAACCACACAACTCATAACTACTCATTTAGTTGCTCGTGAAGTGTAGTAAATGTAAAGAAACTAAATATGCTTTATGAAGAAAATGCCTATATTATGTGATTCCCAATTTTTTTAAATGCGCAGTCACTTAAGAATAAAGCTAACAAACTTGCATGCTGCCATCCCGAAGCATATCTTTTATTTGGTAATGGTGCATTTGGAATATCTAAGTCTAAGATTCCTGCATTTGTCAAATGCTTTTTAACTCACTGTATGTGTTTTTGAACATGGTGGTAACAGCTTATTTTACGATCCCTTTGGAAATATAATCTATGACTATGTAAACGCAATGGCGGATCTAAAGTCCTTAAAGGTAAAAGGGTTATTTTAGTCTCTTCTTTGTGGTTACTTGTTTCTATTGGAAAGATACCCACTTTTTGCATTAAATGCCTTCAGTTGCAGACAATGATTCCCGCTCTGTCGTCTTTCGAAGAGGATTGTGGTTAGTTTTTCTATCATTTAGTTGGTAAACTTTTTGTAAATGTTAGACTATGCTTCAACCCATGTCTGTGGGTATTTGTGATTAGTTTAAGTGAGTAACTTCCTACACTTTCCAATCAGCTAGAATATTGCGGGGCATGAGACTTGCAGCTCGTCTTAACTTTTCATTTTCGGTGGAGATTGACACTGCTATAAGGAAGCTGTCTCAATCCATCAAGAGTCTAAGCAAGGTACACTCCAGAGATTTTATTGGGAAAATGGAGGCACCACAACTCATAACATATAACTTTTTCACGGGAAAATAACAAAAAAGAACAGAGCAAACAAATTAATTATCAATGAAATATTACTGACTTTTGAGATGTTTCTATAAAATTACACTTTTCCACTTTTTTTATTTGAAATGCCATTATTTCCTTTCACAGTCCAGATTAATGATGGAAGTTGGTTATATGCTTTCATATGGGGCTGCAGTCCCCTCCATTAGCTTGCTTCAGAGATATAACTTGCTTGAAGTTCTGCTACCATTTCATGTGAGTTTGTTGTATCCATTCCACCATTGCATTTTGATAAAAAGAGTATAAATTTTTTAAAAAGGTGCCTTTAATTTACATACAGGCAGCATATCTTGCTAAACAGGCCGCCAAACAATCCAGCGAAACTATCTTAATGCTGATGGTATGCTTGTCTTCCCCTGATGTACATGCGTTTCCTATAAAATCATAGCTTGTTTTCTAAACTTTTCTGTGCTGATAGATCTAATAAGTCATTCTGCTATACACACTTACCTAGTTACATATCTTAATTGTTTTCCTATGGTAAATTTCAGCAGAATTTTTTTTGTATTGAACCACGACCTTGCTGCTAGTGGAGGTTTTAAAATCGCTTTTATGAGAGGATATAAAGGTTGAAGGCTACATGCTTGACCTGTTTTCAAACACGTTCAAATTGGATCCTTGAAACTGCTCTTAAATTCTCAAAAGCTCTTTTCTTTTTTCAATAGGGTGTAAAAATAACCATTCTAGAAAATATCCCTTCATATATTTCAAAATCCTTTCTCACAACCCAGACAGAGCTAGTATTTGTCCACTTCCTGATATTTATGAGGTTCTTGTCTGTTTTTTCAAGTGTGTAATGTTGCTGTCACATTTTTCAGAAACTATTTTCCAGTTTGGATCAACTGGTATCCTGCAATAGACCTGCTCACGATAGCTTGTGGTGAGTTATTTTCTTGAAGAAAACACTTTGAGTTTGGTATTATGCTGCTTTTTTTTTATTTATTTGATAAGCTCTTGCTTTCATGAGAAAATTGTGGGTGAGCGTAGTTATGAAGGGACATCAAGGCAAAAAGTCTCGTGGAGCTTGAGACATCTGCTCTCCAGCAATAGACAAACATTTGAATTTATAATTAAATTGTTTTAGTTTTTACCATTTACATTAATTTGATTTTTTTTTAAATTAATTAAAAACAATAATTTACAAACATTTGAATAATTAAGTGAATGACTTTATTTGCTCCATTCGAGTGTGTCTTTGAGTGTGGGTGCTTGTGTTCTCACACGTCTATGGTAGGGTTGCCCAGGTAGGGTTTCAACACGAGCATATAAATCCTATGCAACTAGATTGTTACAAATATGTTCAACTTTCTATATATATAGAGAGAGAGAGAGTGAGAGAGTGAGAGAGAGTAAGGGTCATATGAGAATAGCCCTAGTTAGATTTTTTGCGTTTAAAACGTGTTTTAAACATGTACCGTTTTTTTGAACAAAAAAACGCGTTCAAAACGAAAAATAATGTCGGTCCTTTTAAAAAGGAAAAAAACTTCCACTTCCCGTATAAAACGTATATTTCCCATATTTTACAAAAAATAAAAACATCATTTGATCTCTCGAATGAATACATCAAATGAATAGGAGATAAACAATAGTTTAAAAGCAAAAAAGAAAACCTCATCCCCGTGACCTCGTGTTTTTGTATTGTTACAATACAAAATATACAATTGTTAAATACTAAAATTAATTGCATGACGACTAAAGCTAGTATCCTAAAAGACTAAAATCTAAAATACGACTACGCATTAGATTTGTGATGTTCTTTTCCAAACAAGCATATCAAAATTAAGGTTTTTCTAAATCTGACATTTTTTAGTATAAACTTTTACACATAAACAATAATAATTGTAGCAGTCGCACAACTTTCTCATGTCATCTGTCATCTAGGTGAAAATGATGAGTTTAACTTGAGTGGTATTTGATGATCGTATAAAGATGATGATGATGTTAACTTGGCCTCATTCTATCGTTATTATGCCTTATTTTCTGACATTACTTTGCAAAATTATGTCTTAGACTTAATTACTCCGTACTATTTTTACTTTTGTCATCGACTTATGCAATTACGAATTATTCTTTTATTTAGTAATGTGATTTGCTACTTCAATATGTGTACACTCTTATTTGTTTTTATTATGTGTTATTTTACGAAGTACTTCCTCCGTTCTTTAATTCTTGCAACATTGTGATTTTTTGCACTATTCATAAACCTTACTTTGACCACGATTTTCTACTAATATACATAATCAAATTATTACGTATAAAATGTTATAAAATTCCTATCAATGTGCATTTCCAAAATATCAAATTTTTATAATGTTTACTAATATATAATTAAATATAATTACAATCAAAGTTGTGTGTTGGCAAACGTGAAAGTCAAACTGTTGCAAAAATTAAAGAACGGAGGATAGTATATAATTTAATTGTTATTTTGGACTTAATCATTATTTCTTTTTTTGTCATGAACTTATGCTATTAAAATGCATTTTTTTATGGAGTAATGAGATATTATATTTGAATGTGTGTGTATGTTGATTATCCTTTATGTACTATATATTTTTATGCTCTAAAAACTAGTACAATAATTTAATCATTCAAAATAAGACCCGTATTTTTAACCCGAATTTTTCTAAGAGATGCCATATTATACATGTATATGTATTTACACGTTTTATAAGAGTCAAAGCATTTTTTGTCGAAGTTTTGACTGTATTTTTTGTTCAAGTTACCGAATAAAACACATACGTATTAAATCACGTTTAACTCCCGTACCGCATTTAACTAACTATGGAGAATACATCTTAGGAGAGAAATGATAATGATTCTGGAGCGTTGGATCTGGGTTTCGTGCATCATGTAAAACAGAAATGTGCATATCAAAAATAGGAAAATGTGCATTTCAAGTGTACAAAAGTTTAAACGTAAATGTGCATATTGGATTTTTGCATTACTTTAACTATAAATGTGCAATTTTGTAAACGATAAAGTGCATCGTTTTGGAGCGTTTTCATTTCTCACGTTAAGGAGGGTTCTCACTGGAACCGCACCCTATATATAATTTGGTTGAAATGATAATGATTATGGAGCGTTGAATATGAGTATCGTGCATTATGTGAAACATAAATGTGCATTATCATAAATAAAAAATGTGCATTTCTACTGTGCATAAGTTTAATCATAAATGTGCACATTTGAACTTTAATTATAAATGTGCCACTTCGTGAACCATAATGGGCATTGTTTTGGAGCGTTCTCATTTTTCACATTAAGGAATGTTCTCACCAGAACCGGACCCCATATATATATATATTCAACTTTTGGGCCTCAAAGAAAGAAGAATTGGTTAAAAACCGCAAGTTGATTTGTCGCATTGACATAGCTTGTGAGAATATGTCCATCTATGATCTTGCCTCATAATTGAAATAGACTAAGCACAATTACTGCATGAAATTTATGGCCTCTTGAGTCGTGATTTTTGGTAATTCAGAATTTCAGATTTCCAACAAACCTCTATCCATATTAGGTACCCCCCCTGTTCCAGTAAGAGTTTGACATTCAGATCTGTTAGTGTTTCCACAGATTTACACTCCATAAATACTTCATAGTGAAAGAACAAAAGTTGGAATGAACTAAGGTGCCCTCGGTTGGAGGAGCCTTCGGCTACTGCTCTATGGCCGAAGGCATCTCACTCGACAAGATATCCGCCTCACATGCATACAGATCACCGTACTCTGCACAGATGTCCCATCCGACAGCCGCATTAAATGCGGCCACATGCGACTGCCAGCGCCAACCAGTTGAGGTGACCCCTCGACCAATGAGCGCTTGACACGTGTCCCTGCCCGACATTTATTGCTGCTATAAATAGCACCCCTTTTCCTCATTTGTAACCACGCTGAAAACGCTCCACATTTATAATACAGTCTCTCTCTCTATATTTACTT